CGCTCCTGCAGGAAATGACCCCTGGTGAGCATGCTTTTGGCTTTCCCGTACAGCTGCTGAATCACAAGGGAACACAAAGATCCAGCCAAAGGCGGAGGAGATCTTGGCATCTCCTGGAACAGAGGTTACAATCCACTGCAGCCTTCCATCTTGGCAGTCTAGGACGTCGACGGGGGTGCCGTGGTACAAGGAAGAACTAAACCGAAGCCTGCGCATGATATATGCCAGCTCTTCATATTCAAAGCCTGATGGAAAATACTCGGGTCCATCCAACACTCGACCATATGGTTCTCTGACCATCAGCAATGTGCAAAGAAATGACTCTGGGGTGTACTACTGCACCGCCCCCACCTACAACTCTTTTGTAATCCTTCAAAGGACCAGGCTGATTGTTACAAGTGAGTATCCCCCCCCCCACAAAAAAAGAAATTTTATGTTGTGACACACTGTATACCCATTTACAACTTTCAAAATATTCCATGAAGCCTCAGTTAATACTACAGATTACAATCGACAGCATCATCTTCTTGGAGATCTGGTGGCGATGCCCAGGGAAGGTACAGTTTGGAGAGGGGAGGGAGGGAGGTCAGTAGGGATGTGATGTCATGGAGTCCCACCTCCAAAGCCGCCGTTTCCTCCAGGGGGACTGATCTCTGCAGTCTGGAGACCCCATGGAATTCTGGGAGGTCTCCAGGCCCCGCCTGGAGGATATGCCATCCAAGAAGAATAATTGCAACCGAAATTACAAATGCAATCCTTATTGCTGTTAAATAGACAATTATAATCAGTCAATACAATACAATATAGTTAAAGGTGTGGTCTTGATGCAAAGTAAAGTCCTTGGTATTTATCAAAATCAATCAGTTTCCAAAGCCGTTTCAACTTGAGTCATGGCTCATACCAAAGTATCATGAAATTTCTCTGTTAGGATCCAATCCTTAATTTCTCAGCCATATGTTTGATAAATAATCCAAGTACGGTCCCAGCTACAAGCAGTTGACCTGGAGTGTCCATTTCACCATTAGGATTCTTTTTTTTTTAACAGATAATTTTTATTCTTTTTGATAAACAGCAATGATTTACAGGATAAGCATGAGCATAGCTTTCAATGGCTTCATACATTTCATACAGTTTGTCAATATTATACAGTTTGAAAATTACCATAGATGAAGAGTGTTTATTACATCAGGTACTATTTCTTTGGTAGATAGATGCACTAGTATGGGGTACCATATACATACAAAGTCATTCTGACCACCTCTAGATAGATTTTGTTTCAGCATATCTGAGATTTTCTCCATTATATGAAGGTTCCACAGCTTTTTGTACCAGAGGTTTACATTTAGCCTACTCGTGGATTTCCACGTGGCTGCTAATGTGGTTTTGGCTGCAAATAGTAACAGAGAGATTCTTTTCTTTTGCGTATTAGCTAGGGCTTTTTCCTCTCTGAGATTTAAAAGCAGAGCTTCCGGGGATTTTTCTATCTTGATTTTGCTTATGATCGTTATTTCTTCTATTATTTTATCCCAGAAGGATGCTACCCCCAGGCAATCGTACCAGCAGTGTATGTAACTGCCTATTTCCTTACACCCCCCTTCTTCAGGGCCGGGGGGGGGGGGATTTGTGAATTTCCTGCATTCTGCAGGGGGTTGGACTAGATGGCCCTGGGGGTCCCTTCCAACTCTATGATTCTATTATTAATTTCATAAGATAGAATTGAGGATAAACGGGCCGTTAGTTGTGCATAAATATTAAGAATAGGGGCCTCACACTTAGAGCCCTCCTTCGTCACCGGAGATGATAATTTTCTATAAGTATCCATCCCTATTTCAGATGTTGTCCATGCTAAAAATGTGTCATTCAACTTGGGACACCAATTAGATTTCCGCCTGCTTGTTATATGATTCTATGATTTTATAATCCACCAAAAAACTCAATAATTAAACATCCATTTCAAAGCACAAAGCTTCTCTCAACCATCGGTTTTGTTCACATTCTTGTTGATTACATGTACAATTACAATAAAATAAAATAAAATGAAGCTGATGGGCAGTGTAGATTCAGGACAGACAAAAGGAAATACGTCATTACATAGGGCTCGGGTGTCAAACATAAGGCCCGGGGGCCGGAACTGGCCCACCCAGGGCTCTTTTGCGGCTCGCAAGCAACTGGTGCAAGGGAGGGAACAGGAGACTGCTGGGGGGGAGTGGGTGGAGCCAGTTTGATTGTGGCTTCAGCCTGGCGGAACATCCTCATCTGCAGCAGTCAGGCAGTGTGGGAGCATCTGCCCAGTGCTCCACCACTGGCTCTCCAGTCTGCCCATGTGGGGTTTTCCTTTGCATCCCCCTCCCAGCCCATGGGGCCTTGCAGTGAGGATACACCACCTCGGAGCTTACCAGCTGCTCTCCTTTAGAGAGTTTATATCTCTGGTACGTGGCATCGTGTTTTATGGCACACATGGCCCAGCCCGACAAAGTGACATTTATGTCAGATCCAGTCCTCCTAACAAATGAGTTCTACACCTCTGACATGGAAAGTGATTATAATAGGGTTCCCAAGTCCGATCTTCGCGCCAGCGGGGGACTCCCAGCCCACATAGAGTTTTCCCTCGGATGACTGTGGCCCCGCCCCCAGCATGCCTGGCGGCATCACGTCACTTCCGGGTGACGTGCATGTGGGGTTGGGGTTCCCCCCGGGGCCCGATCCGCCAGCGGCGGGGAACGGGCCTCTGGGGCGGGGGTTTCCCCGCCCCCCGGGGGGACTTGGCAAGCCTAGATTATAATGTGGAAATCACTGACAAAGGATGTAGCGACAGCCACAGAAATAAACAGCTTTAAAAGGGGATTAGCCAGATTCATGGAGGATAAGTATCAGTGGCTACTAGCCATGGTGACTGAGGGGAACCTCCACATTCAGGGGCACTAATCCTCTGAATCCCAGAGCCAGGAGGCAACCTCAGGGAAAGGCCTCGGCCTCTCTGCCCTGTTGTTGGCCCTCCAGAGGAACTGGTTGAAGCCACTGTGTGAGACGGGATGCTGGACTAGATGGACCCTCACTGGTGTGACCCAGCAGGGTTCTTCTGATGTTCTTATCAGGGGAAGGCCTCGGCCTCTCTGCCCTGTTGTTGGCCCTCCAGAGGAACTGGTTGAAGCCACTGTGTGAGACGGGATGCTGGACTAGATGGACCCTCACTGGTCTGATCCAGCAGGTCTCTTCTGATGATCCTATCAGGGGAAGGCCTTGGCCTGTCCAACCTGTTGCTGGCTGTCCAGAGGAACTGGTTGGCCACTGTGTGAGACAGGATGCTGTGGACTATTGGTCTGATCTAGCAGAGTTCTTCTTAGGTTCTTATGTTTTTTATCAAGTATATGACCCATTAAGTTTTTTTCTCAGCTCCCCAGCCATCTGATCAAACAGGAAAATATCCACCCACATATACACCCCTAGTGAAGTATACTTGCAGTGTGGAAATGCCTGGTAGCATTTTTGTTTAGTCTGGGGTTTTTTGGTTGTAAGAAACTAATAAACTAAACTGGTTTGAGATTTTACTGCATAGCATTTAATTTCTATTTGGTTAACATTTTAATTTGTTTTAAATGAATGGCTACGCACATTGAATTTGTTTTAAATGAATGGCTACCCATACTGAGCCGAAGAAGAAGAGATTGGATTTATACCCTGCCCTTCACTACCCAAAGGAGTCTCAGAGCGGCTTACAAACTCCTTTCCCCCTCCCCATAACAGACACCCTGTGAGGTAGGTGTGGCTGAGAGAGCTCTGACAGAAACGGCTCTTTTTCAAGAACAGCTGTGCCAGAACTATGGCTTGCCCAAGGTCATCCAGCAGGTGCAAGTGGAGGAGTGGGGAATCAAACCCGGTTCTCCCAGATTAGAGTCCATGCACTTAACCACTACACCAAACTGGCTAAGAGAAGAGGTAGGTTAAACACCTAATAAACAACTGGCAACTATCCTTCCAATCAGCAGTTTGTGATTCGATTCCCCCTTCGATGCTCTTTTAGATACTTCTGGGCCAACCTATTTCATCCTGGCTCCTTCCGCCCTGCCGGAGGATCAGTCTAACCATGAGATCCCGCTACTCTGCCTCATCCTTGATGCAGACCCTGCTTGGGAAAATGTTTCCTGGGATATTGATGGGGAAACATCTCATGTCCTGAAGGATGTTGACATGATAGACGTGAACGGAGTCTTCAGCACCTGGAGCTTAAAGCTGGTTCCTCCCAAGACATGGACCCAGAGGGCAACAGATAGCTGCTCAGTCCAACACAACGGACACATCAGTGCTGGAATTTCTGCAAATACAGGTAGGATGTGATGTCACAGCTACGTGAACCAATCAACCAGCAAATTGATGTTATAATGGTACTATACCATCTTGGTCGTGGTCTCTGTGCAGTCCCACACATGGGTTGGGCGCCTGAGCACAACCTCGACTGGAGAAACTTCCAGAGCTTGCCTCAGAAATCCTTTTTGGCGGGCTCTCTTCCCGCCCTGGGGAGCAAGCACGCACTGCGCATGCCTGGAGCGGGGGAGAGAGCCGCCTCCCACTCAGTTCCTTTTCAGCCGCCTTAGTGTTCACACCTCGCTAATGCTGCTCTTCAATTTGCCTCAGCTGAGTATTTCGACCTTCTTCGGTTCTCTCCTTCTGTAATGTATTCAGCCTGACATGCCCGGACTTGCCCGGGCTGGCCAGGCACAATTCCTATGTTAGCTTCAGTCGAAAGACAAAGGATCCGGAGGATCCTAGCCGGCCCTATCAAAAAGGCTAGCTTCCCATTGGTCTCCCGGTTACTGTAAATAGCCTATCGGGAATAGGGGGTGTGTTTAGGTATGCTTGGTGGCGGGTTTTCGGAACGTATATAAACCGGCCTGCGAGCCGGTCAGTTGTCTTTGTCCTGAACTAAATAAAGGTATGCTTAGCTGAAATCACTCTCCGTCTGCATACTTTTCACTGGCGACGAAGGTGGGATCCACGACCCCATGAACAAAGACCCGGACGCCGACACGAGCGCTGCACCGAGCACCGACGCCGAGACCTCCGGGAACCACGCCGCTTCGCACCCCAGCTCTCCGGCGACCGCTCATCGCCCCGTTCCCGGCTCCGCTCCGCACCCTGCTGACCCCGAGAGCAGCAGCGCCCTCCACAACGCTTCCGACGCCATCGCCATTCCAGAGGCCACCCAACCACGTGGCTGCAGCACAATGGCGACTCCTCCGAGCAACATCCCCGTTTTTGACATCAA